CATAAATACGGCGGGCGGAGTTACCGCCGGGGCCGGGACCGGGAGCCTCCCACCGGCGCCGCCCCCGGTCCCGGTCCCCATCACCGGTCCCCGGGCCGGCTGCGCTCGTCCCCGGCCCCCATCCCACCCCCGCGGCATCCGCCGCCCACTGCTGGACCCCCCGGGCGGGTCTGGGGGCCCCCCGGCGCCCTGTGCCCCTCTCCCGGTGTCGTCCTTCGGAAGGTCGCCCCGTACCCCGGGTGTGGGCACCCGCGGGACCCCCGGTGCTCCTGGATGAGGCAGCAGCATCTCCTGCAGAGGTGGCGGAGGGTTTAACGCCACATCATGCACCGTGAGCCCCCCACCCTGGCAGGGAGTCGTGCCCTCACGGGTTCCTGCCCTTGTGCCCGAGTGCCAGCAGCCCCCCAGGCCCATCCTCGCCACCACCACATCCCTCCTGACCTTGGCACATCCCCGCAGCCCTGCCCGCCCGTGGCCAACTGGGCTGCGAAATCCCTGATAAGCTGCTCCGTGGAATGGCCTGGTTTTCCCAGAAGCACTGGGGCCGTCTCTGCCTGCGGCGGCCGGGGCCGTGCGGGAGGATGCTCAGCGACACAGCGGGCAAGGTGCCGAGACAGGCAAAGGGAGCGCCCGATGGCTCTTGGCACACAGTGCCCACACCAGAGCTCTGCCTCAGTTTCCCCATCTCCCACCTCCTCGAGCCAGCCTCCGCTGCCCACAGCCCCAAAAGGCACCACTGGTGTGGCTGAGGGTCTGGGCACCTGCAGGGTGGCCCAGCGAGGGATTTTGGGCGCTGGTGATCCACTGGGAGCGCGTGTGGCTCTGAGCCCAGAGCTGAGGTCTGCCACCCTCTGTGTTTGCATGGCGGGTGCGTACCAGCATCTGCTTGGTTTCAAAATCTTCTGTAGCCAAGACCCCGCCCTCCCCCCACTGTGGCACCGGGAGCATCCTTCCACAGCCCCCCGTCTGCCCCGGGCAGAGTGCCGGGGTGGGGGGTGGGGGCAGCAGCACGCTGGTGTTGCTGTGGCTCCTGCAGCTCCGCAGCCTGGGCTGATGCATTTTGCCTCGAAATGCCCCCTGTGTTCCCAGGGATGCTCTGGGCACAGCTGAGTCCAACGGGGCCAGCAGCACCCGCCCTGCCTGAGACCGGGCTGAGCCCCAGGAACTCATTGCACAGATGAGCGGGATGTGATGGCTGCTGGGTGGGGAGACGGGGGGCAGGGCCTGGTGTGTCCCTGCTGCACAGATGGGGCCGAGTGGCCCCCCGGGGCTCTGGAGCCACACTCAGCCGGGTCCCACGCCACCCCCCCAGCACTTCCATTTTCCTCCCTGCAGGACCCAGGCCTCGGGCTGCCGCTTCGCCCGCTCCCGCTGCCCCCGGCTTCCTGCCCCCGCGGACCCAACTGGGCTGCTCCATCTGCTTCCTGCCTGCTGCCAGCCCCGCGCCAGCCAGCCCTGCACCGGAGCTGAGCACCGACAAGGCTTGTGACACGGTGACTGGCGCACACGGGAGCGTGGGGCAGCCCAGCTCGCTGCCCAGGGAGTGCCAGGGCTCAGCATTCC